CTCTCCTCCTCCTCCTCCTCTCCTCCTCCTCCCTACCTCCTCTTCCTCCTCCTCCTCCTCGTCCTCCTCCTCCTCCTCCTCCTCCTCCTCCTCCTCCTCCGCCTCCTCCTCCTCCTCCTCCTCCTCCCTCTCCCGGGGCAGAGGAGAAACCTTGGACGCCCGTAGTCTGGCCGAGACCACGTGGCGCGGCCTCCCGCCCCCCGCAGGGCACACGGACGCGCCGCGGTCGATGTCGCTCACGCGAACCAGTCGTCGTGGACGAAAAACCGCCGAGAGCGCGAATGATTGGGGGCCGCGCGGATCGCCGCCGCCGCCCGGGGCGGGGGGGGGGGGGCGATGGTATGGTAAATCCACGCGGCCACCGAACATTCGCACTCACAACGGTTTCTCATCGGTTCGCGCGCGAGACGACACCATGCCGATGGGATTGTTCTCGTGGGATTTTGTTTTGGAAGGCGAGGCCCTCTAGGACACCCCACACTAACACACGGGAGCTCAGCGCAACGGGAGGGGGCGAGTGGGACATGGCGGGGCGTCAGGGCTGGCGCGAGCGCACCTGGCTTGGCTCTGCTCACAACGGCGACAGGCGTGGACGTCTGGCCCACGTCAATGATAGACATTGAGCAGCTCGTGGCATGGGCGACTGGGTCAAAGGAAACCAATAACAACAAATTAACGCCCACAATACGGCTCCAAGATGGCGCGATGATAGAAAGGACACCAATAACAACCACTTAACGCCCACAGCACGGTTCCAAGATGGCGCGATGATGCCGTTTCGGGACGAAGTTTGGGAACTATGGGTATATAATTATTTTGGTGTCGTGTTCGGCACCAGTGTGTAATGCGATTTGTTTCACCTCGCATCTTTGTTTTGCTTGCGCGCGCTCTTGAAATTGATTTGTTTTCCGCTGCTTATAGAACGGAGGATATAGTGAAGGTTGGGGGCCCTCAACATATTCAGCCGCAGCCCAACAGGGCCCTCCAAAGCGCAGATCAACTCCAGAATCGGTCCCAGGCCCGCCAACGCGTTCCCAATGAAAAAAATAAGGTCGTCACAATACGCAAGCAGTCGGTCCATGTGTTGGCTGCCTTTATGCAGGAGCCACCTCAAAATCGGATCCGAGGCTAAGGCAAAAGGCACATGCTCGATGGGCCCCCCCTGCCGTACACCCCTCCCGATAGCAATCCAAATGTCTAAAACCATCCCACCCAGCATGATTGCCCTTGTGCTGTTGGCATAAAGGGCACTGGGGGGGGGGGGGGGGGGCAAAAAGATCGCTGTCGGCGCGCCCGTGGCATAGAGAACCTGCAGAATCCACGCGACGTGAATCGACGAAAGGCCGCCGCAAAGTCCGTCAGCAACTGCAAGCTATAGGGGGCGCCCCCAAGAGATTGCTGATATCCCCACCTATCAGCAATCGCGATATTCGACGAGATATGCCGTCCCTTGACTCCACCCCTCTGGCCCCCACGCACAGTGCGCTCCGCAGGCCGCGCAAGCGGAGAGCCAAATGCAAGCGACATAGTCTTCGCATCCGAATCGCAAAGTGCCAGAGGCCTCGTAACCTCTGGGCTCCGCGTGATACTATGGGAGGCATCATCGGGGCAAGCGCCTTTGGACAAGAAGAAGAGTAGCATGTCCCTCATATTGTTGGGCAATGTGGTGCTATGGTTAGTGCATAGCTAAAGGTAGAGATCATAGAATAGTTCAATGCCACCCTCCACTTGCCAAGCAGCATAAGGCAAACCGTCTTTACCTGGAGCAGTGCCACGCCTCCACTTCACCCGATCGGCAACGCTGTCGTAGTCGAGCATCCACTCAGGCCGCTGGGCCACGGGTAGATCTTCAGCTCTACGGCAAGACTGCAAGAGCTCAGGCCAGAGCGTGCGATCAACCTCTCTCTCACGAAAGACCTCCCCCCAATGGTTAGCCAGTTCCCTCCCCACTTCCTCTGCGCCAGCACAGACCGCGCCTTCAGACGTGCGGATGCCGTTCAGAAACGCACGCCGTCGGAACTGCTGCCAGAAGAGCCGGCTACGCTGAAGCTTATTCTTCACGCGGTCCTGCTCGATCTCACCCTCCACCACCACCCCGCCGCTAGCATTTTCCATATACCGCTCCTGCTGCTCAATATGTTCCAGCTGAAGGTGCGCAGCGCGCGCGCATGCGGCATTCAAATCCGCGCGTGCGAGCCGTTCAACATCGAAGAAAGCCTCCAGACGTGGGTATGCCACAAACGCTCGCGCACAAAGGTGGAGCTGCCTAATCTAACCCCCCGCACAGCACTCATCGTCCAGTAATGTTGTTCCACGAGCGCGGCAGCCGGGCGGCAACTAATCTTTCGGCGGACCTCAACTAGACTGGCCTGGGTCCGTTCCTTGGCCGACTGCACTCGCGCCGACGCTGGAACATCCGCTGGAAGCGCCGAAAAAATCGCACTGGCAACCTCCTTGCACTCCTGTGTGCGGCGCAACCATACGGGGACACAACGTGACCGACGAGGATCGAACTTCGCGATCGAGAACACGATGGGTCGACGGTCGGAGGGGCAGCGGTCCAGGGGTCCATGCGCCGTCGTCGTCGCCGTAAGGTCAGCGGGCATGGCACCGGGGGCGTCACTATAAACCCGATCGAACCTGGATGTATGGCGAACAATGGCCTCAGCATTCCAACCGAGCCGCGTCGGTTCGTGCTGAATGTACTCTAGCCAGCGCTCACAAACACGATTGACAGATCATGGTGCGGCCTATCTCCCTCGCTCCATAGCTGACCACCCTCCGTCATCCCCCCTTCGCCCCACAACGTAAAGTTCCAATCTCCCAGCACAATATTGAGAGAATGCGCACCACTAGGCAACCGAGCAGTGAGACTACGAAGGGCACGCTCGTATATCGGCAACCCTGGGTTAGTATTAGGTATGTGACAGTTGGCAATCGTCACACAACCATCGTCGTTTCAAAATGGGACCAGCTTTTGAGAACAGGTCGGGCTATAGGTTTGATCGGCGGTCCTCCCTGCGAGACATGGTCAGCAGCGAGGTGGCAGGAGCTCAGAGTTGCTGACCGATATCGTCCACCTGCTCCCCCCCGTACTCTCAAACATCGCTGGGGTAGGCCTGATGTCAGTCTCCGTCAGCATCAACAGCTCTCCATCGGCTCTCAGCTCCTGCTCAGCCAGCACCAGTTGATGCTGACCTGCCTGGAGGTAGGAGCTCGTGCACTGAAAGAGCACCCTGAGGTTGCTCACTGGGAACAAAGGGCGCCCAGTTCGTGGCAGTCTGCCACGTCGTGTGCTCTGAGTGCTGCTCCCCCCTCTCGCATGGTCTCATTCGACCAATGTGTTTTCGGCCAAGTGAGCAAGGCCCCGACGACGTTTCTTTGTATTCGGTTGAGTTCCCTCGTGGAGGATATTCTGAGTCAAGGAAAAAGGGGAAGGTGCCCACGCCCGAAGAAGACCCACACCACCCTCCTCGGCATTGACCCGACCACAGGAAAATGGCGTGCGGCTCCCAAGAAAAGGTATCCTCAGGATCTATGCGCTGCCATGGCCAGAGCTGTTGCCCAATATGTGGAAGAGGCTTTCGGTTTGTGTGTTCCCGATGATCTAGATTCTAGTGGCCTTCCTGACGAGCTGAGCGCCTTCTTTCAGGCTCTCGATTTATATGCTGCAGACACCGCGGAAGGTCAGGCTGGTATAGCTCTCGGTGTTGCTGGTTTCAGATCGAAGGGGCCCCGGGACACCCGTTTCGACCGCCCCCTTGAGTGTGTTGCCCCTCCCCCACTGGCGAGACCTCAGCAGGCTCCAGATGTTGGTTCGGCTGGGGGCGCGGCTGTGGAGCCTGAACCCTGGCCTGTGGAGGAGGAGGACCCGTGGGCGGAGGAAGGCATGCTCCCAGTCTCGAGAGGCGGCTGGTGTCCCGTGGGATCCCCAACCCCCCCCTCCTCCTCCTCCTCCCCCCCCCCGTCCCGCCCGCGTGGAGCTCAGTGACGAGCTCCGACGCCAGGTCCAGGCTCGGCGGGATCAAGCACGTTTCCGTCGAGCTGTTCGACGCTCGCTTCCAGCAGGAGGCGTCTTCTCTTCTGCTGATGCGCGCGCGCCCCCTCTCCCCACGGAGTGTGAGAGGCAGGCGCTGCGAGCGCACTCCCTCCTATGCAGTGCTGCAGGGTGTGGACCAGGCGCGGTGGGATAGGGGCCCCACCTTCTTTTTTGTTGATGTATTGTGTCTCTCTTGCATAGCGCTTGATTGCCATTATATCTGTGGGGTAGGCTGACCATGAGCCTCAGAGTCCAGTCCAGTCCAGTCCAGCCCCCCTCAATTCCGTGATCAAAGTCCTCCCGTCCACCGCAACCACATGGTTGATATCTGCAAACTGCTGCCGCAGACGATCGCTAAGCACTGTGACCGCTCCACCCGCGGCCGTCGAGTGGAAAAAGCTCGCAAATCTCAGCGCGTCGCAACCGCTGAAGTAACACAACCACATCCCCCTCATGACCATGGCATTCCTGGAAACAAACCTCATCATACTTCGCGCAAAGTCCCAAAGCGTACGCAAACTTCCTTGCGCAAATTGAATTACCCCCCGCGAATCCTCCCAGAGAGACCGTTGGTGTTCCACGTGCAGACCGTCACAAAGAAGGGGGGGCTGCAACCGACGCCTCGAGCCTCAGGGGGTACCTCAGGAGCCCCATTTGGGTCTGCCATCGGAAATAGCCTAAGAGCTTTATTCGCACATCTAAACAAACCGCAAACTTCAATCTCCCCCCCCCCCCCCCCCGAGAAGAGGGGGGCGGGTCGGCTGAACACACAGCGGAAGCTGTTGAAACCAGCAAAGGATTCTCTGGCAATCTAACGCACTGGACACGACGCAGCAAGCGGCCAGCCTCGTCGCCCTCACCTTCGCGAAGGATCCCAATCAAGGCTCGCCCAGCTGCACCCACTCGCGCCTCTCGCACTTCGCAGTCCGCGCTGCGCCGTGCCCCATCAAAAGGTAGCCACCAGCGCCGCCCTGACCGCAGGCAAGATCGCCTGAAGGCCCAGGCTCACGAACGCAGCCTCGGCTATCTCGTGCTCCACCTCGTCGCCGTTCAGCTTCAGCTGCACCGTCATCAACGGGCATTCGGGTTTGGTGAGGATGAAGACCGCGCTGCCAAAGCCGTTCGAGCCCACCTCGTAGCGCGTGCCAATGGCCTCACTGATGACCTTCCGCACTTTCCCCATGACGAGGAAGAGCTTCCCCCCGTGCTGGTTGATGTCACGCTTGACACGAAGTTGATACTGCAGCCCATCCGCCAGAGGACTCGGAAACGCCACAGGACCACGAGCCTTGAACGCACTGAAGAAGTCCGAGCACTTAGTAGCCGTCGGGAATTCCAAGGTCGCTTTCCTCGACATGTCAAAGGCCTTAATAGTTATGGATGGCCACTCTCTTTGTGGCGCACAAAGATCACGAACCTGTTCAGCAGCCCGGCGGAGCGCACGCCCCATCAGTGGAGACTCGAACCCCGCCAGGATCAAGCGGCAGGCGCCCTCCTGCTCGCGCGTCGACGCCAAGTGCAGGTTGCTGCCAGCGGGCCCACCACCAGGCTTGCTCGTCGCCATCATCTTCAACTTCCTCTCGATGTCCTCCCCCTTCTGCTGGGCGCCAGACGGGATGGCCGCAATCTTCTCGTCGACGGCCGCCGCCACAGCTGTAGCAATGGCAGCCGTGGATCCTTGCTCAACCACCAGAAGACGTTGATGTACCTGCGCCAAGTTCTGGTCATGGATCTGAAGAGCACTGGGGAACTCCTGCGCCTCCTGCGCCATCGGCTGCTCGATGCGCTCGATATTGGTGTTCATACCCCTTACCTCCGTCATGAGGTCCTTGACCCAGACAGGCGGCGTCTCCTTCTGCATGTCATGGCTGGAGCCACGGTGCCCACGGCTGTCCTCGCTGGTGCTGATGCCAGAGCGTCCGCCTCGGCTCCGACTCCACGACCTGTCCGAACTGGCCGACATCGAACGTGAATGGGAGCTTGCGCGGTGACGCCTCGCGTAGCGGCTCTGGCTACGCTGCTCACGCTCCTCCCTCGCAGCCTTGGCAGCCGCCTTCTTCACCCTCGGGCTCATCGCGGCGGAGCAGCTGCGACGCAGCAAAATGCTGTATCAAGTGAAACTGTGAATACAATATGGGAACTGCATGAGGAAGAGTAACAGTCAGCACGTGGTCTGCCTGGGCAGGCACCTGCGACCACGAGCGCGGCACCTCGGCACTTGAGCCAACATGGCTTGAGCCAAAATGGCTACGGGGTCTGTTCTGGAGCCTCTTGGGGCCTCCTTGGTGCCTTCTGGCGGGCGCCGGCCCCGGGCGCCCGGGCCTGGTGCTCCGTTACATGTATAGATGCATACATATATATAATATGCGAAAGCATGATCATATACATCTGCATATGCATATGCATCTGCGCATGTCTTTCCAAACCATCCTGTGGTGTTTGGGTCCTCGTCTTGAAGAGACGATCCCCGCGAACACTCCTCATATTCCTCCAACTGCCCCCTCCCTCCTCCTCTCATCATCAGCATCATCATCAACATCACCATCGTCATCACCCGTTTCAGCGCACCCATCGCATGATTCGTGGCCCTATGAGGAGCTACGCTGAAGGCTCTAGTGGGGATGCTAGCGCGCGCGCGCCACACCCACTACAGCGCTTCGTGGCCCCATAGGGAACCCCGCCGAAAGACCCCAATGGGGCGCCCGCATGCGTCCGCAACCCCCAGTACAGCGCTTCGCGGCCGCACAGGGAGCTCCACCGAAGGCCCCATTGGGGGTGCCCGCATGCGTCCGCCACACCCAGCACAGCGTTCCGTGGCCCCATAGGGAGCTCCACCGAAGGTCCCAGTTGGGGTGCCCGCGTGCGTCCGCCACACCCAGTACAGCGCTTCGTGGCCCCATAGGGACCTCGACCGAATCCCACCAGCCCTCTGGGCGTAGGTGGTCTAGAGCAGATCCTCTTCCACCCCTCCCTCTTCCCCCTTGGGGAGGGGTTTACCCCTCCCCCTACCCCCTCCCCTGGACCTGGACGGGGGGGGCCGCGGGTAGTTAGAGCGTCCAAGATGGCCCAAGACGGCTCCAAGAGCGCCTCAGAGAACCCAAGATGAGCTCCAAGATGGCTCAAGATAGCGCAAGATCGCTCACGATGGCTCCTAAGATGGTTCCAAGAAGCCCAAAGACGGCCCCAAGATAACTCCAAGTGGCCAAACAGCTCCCCAAGGAGGCCCCGAAGAGGCCAAAATCGTCCCAAAACCTAAGGAAAATCAATGATTTTTGCTTTCTCGCCTTTTCGCTTCCGATGGCCATCCGAGGCCTGGAGATGGCTCCAAGATGGCCCAAGAGGGCCCCAAGAGAGCCCCAAAAGAGCCCCAAGACGGCCCCAAGAGCGCCCAAGAGCACTCCAAGAGCGTTCCAAGAGGGGTCCAAGAGGCGATTTTAGGGGCTTCCGAGGGGGGGCGCTAATTAAACCCCCCCTCTTGTTTGATCGACTCCCTCCAAGATGGCCCCAAAAGCGCCCCGAAGGCTCCCCAGAGCGCCTCAAGAGGGTCCCAAGAGGCGCCCAAGATGCCCCAAGGCGCCCAAAAAGCCCTCCAAGAGGCCCTCAAAAGACCCCCAAGAAGCTCCTTCCCCTCCTCCTCCTCCTCCTCCGATTCTTCCTCCTTCTCCGTCCTCCTCCTCCTCCTCCTCCTCCTCCTCTTCCCCCTCCTCCTCCTCCTCCTCCTCCTCCGACGACGACGACGACGACGACGACTCCTCTTCCATCCTCCCCCTCTCGGGGTCTGTGACAGCTTCCCCCGCCCTTTGTTATTCTGCATGCTCCCCGACTTCCCTGATCACCTCAACTCCCCTGAGCATCGTTTCTGGATGGGCTGGTGGGGATACGCGAAGCGTCAACAATTCCCCAGTCAGCACAGCGCTTCGTGGCCCCACGAAAGGCCCCAGTGGGACCGCCCGCATGCGCCGCCACACCCAGTACAGCGCATCGTGGCCTCTTAGGGAGCTCAACCGAAGACCCCGGCGGGGGCGCCCGCATGCGTCCGCCACACCCAGTACAGCGCTTCGTGGCCCCAGAAGGAGCTCCACCGAAGGCCCCAATGGGGGTGCCCACATGCGTCCGCCACACCCACTACAGCGGTGCTTCGTGGCCCCATACGAAGCTCCACCGAAGGCCCCAATGGGGTGCCCGCATGCGTCCGCCACACCACGCACAGCGTTTCGTGGCCCCATAGGGAGCTCCACCGAAGGCCCCAGTGGGGGTGCCCGCAGGCGTCCGCCACACCCAGTACAGCGTTCCGTGACCCCATAGGGAACTCCACCGAAGGCCCCATTGGGGGTGCCCGCATGCGTCCGCCACACCCAGTACAGCGTTCCGTGGCCCCGTAGAGAGGTCCACCGAAGGCCCCCGCGGGGGTGCCCGCGTGCGTCCGCCACTCCCAGTGTAGCGCTCCGTGGCCCATAGGGAGCTTTCTCTTAAGGTCCCAGTGGCGCAGCCCGCATGCGCCTCCCACACCCAGTACAGCCTTTCGTGACCCCATAGGGAGCTCCACCGAAGGTCCCAGTGGCGCAGCCCGCATGCGTCTCCCCCACACAGTACAGCGTTTCGTGGCCCCATAGGGAGCGCCACCGAAGGTCTCAATTGCGCAGCCCGCGTGCGCTACTACGATGAAGCCGGGATCGGGGCAAAATTTGACCGGGATAAAAATCATGCTCGGTTTTTCAAATCACCGGGGGCGCCGCCGAACGGGCCGGGCCTGCCGCGCCCTGGGCGCCATCGGCTTCGCGAAGGAAGAAATGCGCCCCGGCGCGGATGAAACCACGGCGCGCATTTGGGCACGCGCGCGCCCGGGGGAATTCAGCGCCGAGCGCCTTTCACTCCAGAAGGCCCGACGTCAACAAAACAAACTTGAGGCCCCGAGGGGGGCCCCAAGGAGGCGGACCGCCAAAGCAATCACGCAACCAACGCAACGAAAAAATTATCCTGGCGAAAGACCCAACCATAAGCAATTGTTGGTAACGCGTTGTGGGTGCCGCTTTCGGTGGGGCTCCATATGGGGCCACGAAGCGCTGCCTTGGATGGGGGAACCGCATGCGGACTGCGCCACGGGGGCTTTCGGTGGAGCTCCCCATGGGGCCACGAAACGCTGCCCTGGGTAAGGGAACCGCATGCGAACACCCCCACTGGGGCCTTCGGTGGAGCTCCCTATGGGGCTACGAAACGCTGCCCTGGGTGGGGGAACCGCATGCGAACACCCCCACTGGGGCCTTCGGTGGAGCTCCCTATGGGGCCACGAAACGCTGCCCTGGGTGGGGGAACCGCATGCGAACACCCCCACTGGGGCCTTCGGTGGAGCTCCCTATGGGGCTACGAAACGCTGCCCTGGGTGGGGGAACCGCATGCGAACACCCCCACTGGGGCCTTCGGTGGAGCTCCCTATGGGGCCACGAAACGCTGCCCTGGGTGGGGGAACCGCATGTGGACACCCCCACTGGGGCCTTCGGTGGAGCTCCCTATGGGGCCACGAAACGCTGCCCTGGGTGGGGGAACCGCATGTGGACACCCCCACTGGGGCCTTCGGTGGAGCTCCCTATGGGGCCACGAAACGCTGCCCTGGGTGGGGGAACCGCATGTGGACACCCCCACTGGGGCCTTCGGTGGAGCTCCCTATGGGGCCACGAAACGCTGCCCGGGTGGGGGAACCGCATGTGGACACCCCCACTGGGCCTTCGGTGGAGCTCCCTATGGGGCCACGAAACGCTGCCCTGGGTGGAACCGGGAATGTGGACAAACCGGGGCCTTCGGTGGAGCTCCCTATATGGGGCCACCGCCCGCATGTGGACACCCCCACTGGGGCCTTCGGTGGAGCTCCCTATGGGGCCACGAAACGCTGCCCTGGGTGGGGGAACGCATGTGGACACCCCCACTGGGGCCTTCGGTGGAGCTCCCTATGGGGACGCTGCCCTGGGTGGGGGAACCGCAACCCCCACTGGGGCCACTAGGCCACGAACGCTGCCCTGGGTGGGGGAACCGCATGCGAACACCCCCACTGGGGCCTTCGGTGGAGCTCCCCTGGGTGGGGGAACCGCATGCGAACACCCCCACTGGGGCCTTCGGTGGAGCTCCCTATGGGGCCACGAAACGCTGCCCTGGGTGGGGGAACCGCATGTGGACACCCCCACTGGGGCCTTCGGTGGAGCTCCCTATGGGGCCACGAAACGCTGCCCTGGGTGGGGGAACCGCATGTGGACCCCCCCACTGGGGCCTTCGGTGGAGCTCCCTATGGGGCCACGAAACGCTGCCCTGGGTGGGGAACCGCATGGGACAGCCCGGGGGCTTCGGTGGAGCTCCCCTGGGGCCCCGAACGCTGCCCTGGTGGGGAACCGCATGGACACCCCCACTGGGGCCTTCGGTGGAGCTCCCTATGGGGCCTACGAAACGCTGCCCTGGGTGGGGGAACCGCATGCGACACCCCCACTGGGGCCTTCGGTGGAGCTCCCTATGGGGCCACGAAACGCTGCCCTGGGTGGGGGAACCGCATGTGGACACCCCCACTGGGGCCTTCGGTGGAGCTCCCTATGGGGCCACGAAACGCTGCCCTGGGTGGGGGAACCGCATGTGGAACACCCCCACTGGGGCCTTCGGTGGAGCTCCCTATGGGGCCACGAAACGCTGCCCTGGGTGGGGGAACCGCATGTGGACACCCCCACTGGGGCCTTCGGTGGAGCTCCCTATGGGGCCACGAAACGCTGCCCTGGGTGGGGGAACCGCATGTGGACACCCCCACTGGGGCCTTCGGTGGAGCTCCCTATGGGGCCACGAAACGCTGCCCTGGGTGGGGGAACCGCAATGTGGACACCCCCACTGGGGCCTTCGGTGGAGCTCCCTATGGGGCCACGAAACGCTGCCCTGGGTGGGGGAACCGCATGTGGACACCCCACTGGGGCCTTCGGTGGAGCTCCCTATGGGGCCACGAAACGCTGCCCTGGGTGGGGGAACC